TAAGTGAGTTACGACTTTCCAATATCTGCACTAACTAGTAAGCAAAATTTTTTGACAACATATTATATTGTTTCAAATCCGAATGGTACCTAATTGACCATTTGATATAACTGTCATACCTACATTTTGCCAATTCAAGGCCTAATCTATTGATTCATCTATAAATCAACTTCAGCAATACAATCATGATTTTAATGTATATATCATACTCCAAAATGATAAACTCCAAATAAACATATACACCGTTTGGCAAAATAACTACATAAGTAATATTACCATATACATGCACTATACATCATTATATCTAGCATATCAAAAATGGTATAGACATCCATATGCTCTCAAAATACGTGGATATCATGTGAGATACAAATATACATCAAACATGCACATCACCAAAATCATGCTCTCCAAAAATACATAAGCAACACGCTACAAGAATCCATCCCCTACTCAGGCCTTTTGACTAGGGAAGATTCGTCTCCATCGGTACATGCACCTGAAATATGGTCCTCACAAGGGGTGGGATAAAATATCTCAGTAAACCAGGGGTCCTTGGAGAATTACTCCACCCCATATTTCACTTCAAGGATAACAACAATAAATCAAGATCATATAGCATATATATATACGAGGCAGGATATTCTTACACTGGTGTAAGAGTTAGAAGTCTTACACTCAATCTTGATCATTGATCCACTTGTATCCAATGGCTCACATTACTAAAAAATTTGAGTCATTAGATATAAGTGGGATTAACGGACAAGATTAAGAGTGTAACTTATGCTGGTGTAAAATGATCTCCACCCTATATATATATATATATATATATATATATATATATATATATTGCAATGTGTGCAAAATAAATTCTACTGGCCAAAGAACTCTAGAATGTACGCATTGCGTAAGGAAAGTCGTCTTGCAACGTACAAGTATAAGGAATGTCGTCTTATACTTAGCATAAGGAAAGTCGTCTTATGCCTCACACAAGGAATGTCATCTTGTGTGGCACACAGAACAAACATACATATAATGTAGTATATCATTCTCAATACAATTACATACACCACATAAAATATTACTCCCTCGAGCATGTGGAACATAAAGAAGATTAACCTTAAGGACCAGAAGCTTACCTCTTAGAGCTTCCAATCTACTCTTGCTTCAAGCATAAGTTACGTTCCCACACAAGAGATGCATTTGAATATAACACAAGAAACCTAGCCAATATTCACTCCAAGACTTGAAATCATTCAAGTTTCAACCGATTTCCATGGCTTCATCCAATGATTGATTTCTTCTCATTAGTTCACTTGATTCAGCCCTAAATACAAATAGACACAATCTCCATCAACAATAGCTCAATATATACCACTTGGAATACAAGTAGCCACCACTAAAGTCAAAATTTCAAAAATTCCAAAGGTTGTAAAAATGGTGATTTCAATGCATTTTCACCGTTTATTTTCAACCCTTATCATATTTTTCAACTACAATCAGGTCTAAATACCACTTGAACACCATTATTCATGCCTCCCAACTTCAATGAAAACTTATAAATATAATTATCACGAAACTTGAATGAAAGTATGTTTTCTTACCACTAATGTCTTCAAGTTGATCCAAAGAATGAATTTCAAGCTTCCAATGGAGTAAAACACTCCTCCTTAGCTCCAACCAACATGAAACCCGCCACCTAAAGGGTGAGTTTCCTCTTCACTCACTTGTTTTCCCAAGGATTTTTTATATGGTTTTGATTACCAAGTGATTATAGGTATTTTTCATGTTCAAAGTTTCTTGATTTAGTGACAAACTAAGAAGTTGAAATTCCAAGCTATCCTACCATGGAAGTTCGGCCTTGGAGAAGAGAGACATACGAAGAAGAAGCTTAAAATAGCTTATTAGACAAGTCAATAACATTTAAACAACTTGTTGACTTTTTGGTCAATTAAAAAAAAATATAATTTACCTATTACTTAAATGCCCTTCTTCAAATCACTTTAATAACTTAAGACTTAGCTATTTTCCATAATTCCAATTTCCACCAATGTAGTTTAATAATGTCACACTACATAACTTCTAAGTTATGGGCAACTTTTGCATAATTACCTTTTTGCCCCATAACTCCCACTAATTTCACCTTTTCCAAAAATGACTTATTTTCACTTAATTAGACCATCATAATTATGATTAAATCAATAATCAATTCCCAAATTCGAATTTCAAAGGTTAGAGTTATTATCATTAGCAACTGTTGTCGTCACTCTAAATCTATTGCTGCCATTGGTTCTCTGACTTTGTCATCTCTCTTTCTCCCCATGTTTCCATTTATTTTTACCCATCTATTTAGCATATTGTTTTGGTATGGCTGATATGGATTTTATTTTTCATTTTTGTGGATTTTATTCAAGTCTGATATGGCTTGATTTGATCTCTGTTTTCCACTTTGCCATTGTTTGGTATTTGTTTTGCTTAGACTTGTATTTAGCCAATTTGATTTTATTTTCACACATAGTTGTGGCTTATTTTTGCCATTGTTTGACATATTGTTCTAATTAGGCTTGTATTTGGCCAATTTGGTTTTATTTCTATATATGTTTGTGGTGTTATTCAGGTCTGATTTAGCTTGTATTTGGTTTTGCCATTGTTTCGCTTTATTTTGGCCTCCCATTTAGGGGAGCATTTATCTTGGTTGTTGCTTGGTCCGCAGATTATTCCAGTTACAGTGACTCATTGACTTTTATCCCAGTTGCAACACTGTTGTTTAGGCTGATGTCCACCCCAGCCCTTCCTTGGCTGATGTCCATTCCAGCATATTTTCGCTGATTTCCATTTCAGCGTTGTCTCTTTACCAGCTCTTCAGATTGATGGTCATTCCAGTTAATTTGTTGTGCTACCGATTTCTTTGGCTTATATTTCATGAAACTTGGTTTTAGTCTTCTTTCTTTTCATGATGGAGTGTTCATGCTATTAGAAATATAAATAATATTTTTTTTTTTTTTTGTATGTGTATTAGTTTACATTAAGATGAGTTGTAGAGTTATTACAATCCATGCTTTTTTTTTTTTTTTGAAAGACAATCCATGCTCTTTTATAATCTCTCATTGTATCCATTTTACTTGATCAATTAAAACAATTTATTCTCTCTCTCTTGCCTCCTAACAGTGTCTGTCTTGCTCACGAGTCACGATGTTATACGTATGCCGGTGGGGACATGTTAGGGATTATGGTATTTTATCCCTGGGTTGTGGTTAAAAATATGATAATGCTGTAATTTTCTGGCAATGAATTTATAGATTTACTGTTAAATTAATTTTTAATGCATATTAATTAAAATATTTGATTGATGAAAAAGCTTTGATAATAGCCACCTTAATAATGTAATCAAGAATTGATTGATGACCCACCAAATGTTTGTTCGAAATTTAATCGATGTATAGCCTTTTCCTTATGTCCACATGTGCTAATCAACTTTGATTCCATATTCTCCTCTTATCATCACATCAATTTATCATCAAAAGAATCAGTAGACCGTCTGCATAGCGAGTTATGACAAAGGAGACTCTTATATAAATATAAAAATTTATTAATATAACGTCATCTAATAATTTAAATTTTCAAATTAAATTGATTTTTTATATAATATCAGAATCGATATAATTAAGTGGTTATAAATTTGAATATCACTGCTGTCATTCAATTAATAAAAAATTAAATATTATAAATTTTCTTAACATAAGTAAATTGAGATTAATACATCATTTATTTTTTAAGTTCAATAAATTTTCTAAGTTTTTAGATTGATTTGATTTGGAAATTTAGGAAATTCCACAAAGCAGTGAAATTAAAAAAAAAATACGGGGTCTCCACTCTCCATACAAAACTTTAATTTATGCAACATTCAATTAAACCTCAATCAACTTTAATTGAATGTTGATGCTGATGCTAATACTTATCCAAAACACAATCGAAATTGAATGCTGCATAATTAAACTATAACTCTTAAAATCAATCAACTTAATCAATTATTGAATTTTCCTTTCGGTAATTAGTAAAGATATATTTTTATTCAATTTCGTACAAAAGAGTGACTGAATATTTTGTTTTTAAAAAGATTATAAATAAGTAAAGTTGTTCTTACCATTATTGCTGTGATGTAACAGTTATGCTTCGATCTCAATCTTTGTATATAAAAATTGGCCACGGTTCAATGAAGCCAACGTGTGTGGGACCGTTTTTAGATAGACATGTAACGTGACAAATGGTGTCAGAAAAAAAAAAAAAAAAAGGATGACTTTGACATTCAATTTCGCAATCAATTTTAGCCAACTTGTAGGAATTCTTTATAATTATTTTGGGATCTCTAAATAGTTGCTTTATTTCAAAGTTTTTTATTTAGATTAATTATAAAAAAAGACTAAAAGATAGTGATGAACCCACTGACTAATATTTATTAGCAAGACTATGAGTTTATGTAATAAAATAAAGTAAATAATATTTATTATGTTATAGAAAATAAATTTTATTTTTTACACATACAAAAATATATAGTATTTAGATTTTTTTCTCACATAAATTTATATGAATCTCGTATAATTTTATGTATCTTAAGAAATAAAATTATTTTTTGGATTCATTTTTTCTACAATCAATGTAGATAATTTATCTACATTGAGCCCAAAATGACGTCGTTTTGAGATAAAAATTAAATTATGTTTATAATTATAATTTATTTTAGAGTTATAATAACTTTTTACCTTATAATCTTTCAATCTAAAACGGTATCGTTTTAGCAACAAATATAAATATCTTATCTATATTTTCTTTACAAACATTAAAATCTTATTTTTTATAATAAAATATTAATCGCAGAAATAAAATGCCCGTGCTAATGTCGATGGTCAACAAAGTCAAGCTCAACACATCATCTAATTGTGGCAAAGCACAAGGTGTCAGTTATCACAATTCAGAACAGATCGAAACAGAAAAAGAAAGAGAGAGAGAGAGATCAACCGCTTTTTACCCGCAAAACGTGTGGAAAATAAAAAGACTCCCTGAATTCTCGCGTTCCGCTTCGATCAATTCAACAAAAATAGAATAAAAATAAAAAATTCTATTATTTTCATTCCCTTCTTCATTATCAGAAAAAAGTTAAAAAAAAAGGAAAAACTCAGATTCGTTAATTTTTTTCGTTTGCAATAACCATAAGCTGTTTCCAACATGTAGAGGCCCCTCCCTTATACTCCTTTGAATATTTTGTTTATTTTCTGTTACGATCACAACACCATGGAAAGCATTGCCGCGCAATTGAAGCGCGGCATCTCGCGGCAATTCTCGGCGGGGTCTTTACGGCGGACCCTGAGTCGTCAGTTCACGCGCCAGGCCTCGCTGGATCCGCGGCGGAACAACCTCCGTTTCAGCTTCGGCCGACAGTCTTCTCTCGACCCGATCCGACGGAGCCCCGTCGAGGACGAGGCTGAGCTCACGGTGCCGGAGAACCTTGACTCCACGATGCAGCTGCTGTTCATGGCGTGCAGGGGAGACGTTAAGGGAGTGGAGGATTTGCTCAATGAAGGCATTGACGTCAATAGCATCGACCTCGACGGCCGCACAGCCCTCCACATCGCCGCCTGCGAGGGTCATGTCGACGTCGCCACGCTCTTGCTCAGCCGCAAGGCTAATCTCGATGCACGTGATCGTTGGGGCAGTACGGTAATTTCATCTTCCTCAATTATTCCTCTGAAATCTCTCGTCATATTATTTAAAATTCGCTCCAGAATAGTAACTGAAAGCATGTATTTGATTCTTTGATTATTATTTTTGGAAGAAGTTTAAAATGTTAATTCTAAATATGCCACGAATACAATTGTCTCCCGCACGATGCACGTGGTTTATAAAAAAAAAAAAAATAGCTCTAGAATTCTTTTTCTCTCTCTCTTTTAATTTTTAGAATCCATTTACTACTTACTCTTTTTGCTCGATATTATGTTTTGATGTGCGTAGAAAATTTGAAGTCAATTTTCTTTTTTTATAATTTAAAAAATGATTCAATTTTTCAAAAAATTTGTTTGAATGGCATCTTAATGCGTGATATATGGATATGCAGGCGGCGGCTGATGCTAAGCATTATGGAAATACGGAAGTTTATTACATGTTGAAGGCCCGTGGAGCAAAAGTGCCGGTATTGTACCATTCTTTGCATGTTATGTATCTATTAATATATATGTTGAATTGTATACAGTGTTATTTATGAGTGATCTTTGACGTGGTTAGAAAACCAGGAAGACTCCAATGACTGTTGCAAATCCTCGTGAAGTTCCAGAATATGAACTCAATCCATTAGAGCTACAGGTTCGGAAGAGTGATGGTATTTCAAAGGTATGCTTCTATTTCTTGTTTGTTTTTTCTTTGGCGGGTGGGAGTGTTAGATTTTGTTAACTTACATTGTTGGATGTGATGATTCAATAGTTATGACTTTTCGGGCATATCATACAATTTGGATTCCACTGGTGCATGGTTTCTGTTTACATAAATGCATATTGATGCTTGCAACTAAGATAACTATTCTGACTCTGAGGGAGCATTTTTGCTTTCAGATCGGTCAACTGCGATAATGGGCTGTGAAATTTTGCTTTAGTAATGTAATCTGCATGACCAATAACTTGGCTTAGGGTGTTTACCACCGAGGGTTGAAATTTTGCTTTGCCATATTCTGTGAGCAATGCACTGGGTTCTCTTCGGCATCCATCTGGATTATATTTTTAATCTTTCGTTTTTCCTGTTAATTTTTGTTGTTTGGGTTTGTTTCAAGTGAATACTGGTAAAGTGGTAATGGGTAGTGCCTAATGTGCTGATGTTATGTGTATAATAAAAGTTGCTGATACTTGTTGGAACTGAGTTCATGGATCTATAAACATCTCACATAATTAAGCTAAATAATAATACATGTTAAAATTACTGTTTTTCTTTACTCTTGTTTGATCAATCTCTTTGCAGGGAACATATCAAGTAGCCAAATGGAATGGCACAAAGGTTTCAGTGAAGATACTTGATAAGGATAGTTATTCAGATCCTGATGCCATGTATGTATACACCTAAGCAATCAAACTTGTTTGAGTGTCTGTATGATATGCTTCTCTTCATATCACTTACTACTTTACACTTTGATTTCTGGTTAAATAGATGGTCTGAATTGCTGTTTGTTTCTATAGTTTATTACTCAACCTTGGCACTAAATTTTGACCATTTCTATAATTCACTCAGAAATGCTTTCAAACAAGAGCTCACGTTACTAGAAAGGGTACGACATCCTAATGTGGTCCAGTTTGTTGGAGCTGTCACCCAAAATATACCTATGATGATTGTTAGAGAGTACCATACTAAGGTATCCTTATTCTCCGTCTCTCTCTATCTTTGCAAATGTGTGTCTGTGTGTGTGTGTGTGGAGAGAGAGAGGGTACAGAAAATTTAGTGGAAGTAGCATAGCAAAACCCTGTTAGGAAATACAGTATTGCCCTGTAAGTGTCTTTTATCTAACGCGCTTTTCATTGCTCATTTGAATGTTGATTCTCAGGGTGACCTAGCAAGCTATCTTCACAAGAAAGGGCGTTTGTCCCCATCAAAAGTTCTACGGTTTGCTCTTGATATTGCCAGGCAAGTAACAATTTTAAGGAGCTATGCTGTACGAAATCTTTGTGAACCGATCTTTGGAAAAACATTTCATGTTCTTTTCTTATTTTTATTATCTCTTATACTGGTCATTGATTTCCAAGAGGTGTCTTTGATCATTTTCTTAGCTTGCTAAGTTTAGAATCCACTGAATGATAATAAATTTTTTGGGCATAGTTTATATAAGATATATCTTGATAATTTATTGTTAGCAGGGGCATGAATTATCTTCATGAATGCAAACCAGATCCAATTATCCACTGTGATTTAAAGCCAAAGTAAGACCACTTAATACAATCTGATGTTTAAGTATGAGTGCATTTTGAATTAGATTTTTTTCATTTGGAATATGGGATTACTGTTCCTTTAATATATGAAATTTTGGTAAGGTGCCAGAAATATTTTGCTGGATAATGGAGGCCAACTGAAGGTAGCTGGATTTGGCAATGTGAGATTGTTTCAAATCTCACCTGATGAAGCACAGCTGGTACAGCCGGAGTCTAACATCGACCTTTCAAGTAAGTTTTTGAGTATTTCCATTTTTTTTAATTTGGATTTTATCTCCTTCCAAAATCCCTGTTTTTATTCATTAGTAACCTATTTTCTTGCATTAAGATTCAGTTTAATTATAACTGGTTGAACATATAAGATTTGTGAATGCAATAGGAATTTTCTTTTTGAATTAATTATACACGTAGAGATTGTATATGACACTTTTTATTAGCTGCCCTTAGCTTGGGACCTTGGGTTAGGCCATGAAAAATGATAAAACAGACAGTACAGGAAATTTTTGTAAATTAGCTCTTATTACGTTTCAAGCTCAATATCTATTTCGAATTCTAGGTCAAAAATGGCTGGGAGATGGCTTAAAGGGGGTGGGAAGAGGGGAGAGTGAAATTTTGTAGGATGGTCCATCATTTGGGATATGGAGGTTTTGACCGTGCACGTACTTTACCTCCATTTGATGTTGTTGCATAGGATCATGCTGTTTTGAGGTTTAAACCCTTTTCTCTCAACTTTCTTGACTTTGGGATATGGCTGACATTTAGGTTTGCCTATTGGACTAAGTTTTATTTGAACTAGTACTGATTATTTTTGAAGATATAGTTGAGTTGATTGAAGGTGTCATGGGTAATCCGACAGCTTATAATTAAATTTTAAGACTTGCGTGAAGGAGGGACTATCATTTTGAAAGAAAAAGTAAAGAAAATGACAAACATTTTAGGAAAAATTAAATGATATAGTATTATTGTTTATGTTTGACTAATAAAAAATATTTGGAGATTAGAGCTGCTAAAAATATCTTTCATGGTTCAATTAATGATTTGGCTGTATTCATTGTAGGCTTGTACGTGGCACCAGAGATTTACAAAGATGAAGTATTCGATAGAAGTGTGGATGCATATTCTTTTGGTCTAGTTGTATATGAGGTACCTATTTTCATCTGTAATATTGTTAATCTCATCGAACTAAGAAACTTAGGCTAGTGCACTTAAGTGGAAAAAGTTGCACCCCGGCTATTTAGCTATAATTTTTAAGCTAGGAGGCAGGATGGGGAATTTGACGATAGCATTTTCTTGACATTTGTTCGTATGTTTTATGTGTTGTTTTGCTGACAGTTCAATTTAGTAACCTTACTAGTTGGAACTAAGCCCATAATATTGTAGTTCCTTAAGATTACTGACGCATTTCTAGTTTCAGGAATAAACGTTGTAGCTCTTCTAAATGCTTTGACTGTTCATACCTCTTCACTGTGATTTTGATTTCGGGGGCATTTAGATTTTCTGAATTTATCACACAGTTCTTCATATATTAGTTGCCTATTGGTTGAAATTCAACAATTTTTTGTTTTTTAACATCTCTTTTATGGACCCAGATGATAGAGGGTATACACCCATTCCATCCCAAGTCCACGGAGGAGGCTGTGAAACTGATGTGCTTAGAAGGGAAAAGACCACCATTCAAGATCAAAACAAAAACTTATCCCCCGGAATTGAAAGAGTTAGTTGATTATAAAGTAAAAATTAGTTCTTCAAGCTTCACTTTAATTTTAAAGCTGTCTAACTGTCATGGTGTATGCAGGCTGATTGAGGAATGCTGGGATCCAGAACCTGTTGTCAGACCAACATTTTATCAGATCATTGTACGGTTGGACAAAATTGTTGCAAATTGCTCAAAACAAGGATGGTGGAAAGATACTTTTAAACTTCCTTGGTATGTTTCCTAGACTGATTATCTCCTGAACAGAATTTTAATTTCTTTGGTGGAATTCGAAGTGGTAAAGTTTTCATTTAAGCTTTGAAATGCTAAAATCAATCATCCCTTACGTTTAAAGACCGGTAAGGTGGTAGAAGATTTGTGTTTCCAGTGGTGAACTAAACTTGAGAGTAAAGAGAATCATGAATATTGGACAGAATATCGCAGGGATGAATTAAAATTTAAAATTTCATTGATTGGGGAGAAAATCACTGCAAATTTATTACGTCGCTTATTTAGTGAAATAAAACAAAGGAATAATGAGATTAGCTTGCGGAATAACAGGGTGAGAAGTGGGGATGGGTTGGTTTGAGGAAGAAATAAAGATTCCCAGATTTCAGTATCATTTGTATGCATGAAAATGAAATAGAATTAATGTCTAGCGTGATCAGAGGAGTATGGTGATGGAATTTAGTCGCTGAAGTCAGTATTCAGGTTGTTAATATAAATGTTTTGTTGCCGGCTGGAAGGTGACTTCATATATTTTTATTAGGTAAATGAGGATCCCATATATTTTGTGATGGACGTTTCTTTTTCTGTTGCAAATATATTGTTAATGAAAGCAAATAACTCACTATCATATTGCAAAACCATAAAAAAGACACACCATATGACCATATCCTCCAACTTTTCCCTTCCTCAAAAAATGGGATAAAAAACGTGCTGTGGGTTTATACTTTCACTCGCATGTAGTGGGATGTGATCATGTGAAGGAGAAATTCTTTCATGTACCTAATTTATACAAGTGCTAATAAAAATTTTACATATCTTTATCACTCATTAAATAAATTAAAAGTCAGTATTATATGATAATTTAGTTAACTCTCAACAATGATATGCCAATTTTTGTTGGCCTTGTGAAAAAAATTCTCCATGTGAAGAGTCAAATTAAGAAGCCAGGCAAGGTGACACAACTTACTTCATAAGCCTTCAAATACGGCTAATTCAACTGTGGCACTTGAAAACCTAGAAAATGTAAAATCCCATACAGTTAAAAGATTATTCTAGTGGTTGAAAGATTTTCGTAATAATTATGTAATGATAAACCATTTGTAATTAAATTAATTACTTCTAATCGTGCTATCCAGTATCCGCTCATGTTAAGTGTAAACATGTATTGAAGCCTAGTAATTTACATATAACGATTTTGGTTAAAGAGCATATTGATATACCGTACGTCTCTGTGATAGGGATGGTTTACCTTGGGCCATTTTAGTTGGACTTGAGCAATTCTTGTTGCATATAAGATTGATATTACTGTTCTTCTCGTTAATGGACTTTCGTTGCTGTCTTCTAAACCGGCATTACCATGTGAATATTTCAATATGTGCAGGAAATAAATAACAAGGGAGGTCCAGTCTTATCAAGGAAGATATAAAGATCGGGGTTGCAGCCTGAAAACCAAATTGTGAGCATCATGTTGGTGTACTTTTAAGTGATTATAGCCATTGCAAATAACTACGAAACTCATAATATTGACTTGGGCATGGATTTGAGCATGAAAATGAATTTTCCACGGTTCCACCTTTGTCCGCTGTCCACTAGAGGGTGTGTAACAGCTCCTCTCTGTAAAATGTACCATAAGTCACCATTACGTCTTGGAACATTTATTCTCGAAAATTTTCTAATAAACAATGTATTTTCTATACTTATTAATCGACTATCATGTGCCGCAAGGTAGAAACGTGTACTATTTGTCACTGTTTGCACGATAAATGTTGTGAGGCTTAATGTGCACCGCGGGTTTTTTCTCTCCTCAATAGCCAATACAGCGGGTGCTGTTGCGGTGGCATGGGCGGATGATTAGGTGCTTACACCATAACACAAGTCATGAATATATATATATATATATATATATATATATATATATATATATATATAAAATGTTATAGAGATTCGTTTTGCGTGCTGTAATTTTTTTTTTTCAAAAAGTGGGTCCCACAAAATGTTGCTTGTGTAAAAAAATTTATATATATATAAATTTATATAAATTTATATATATATATAAATTTATATATATATAAATTTTTTTACACAAGCAACATTTTGTGGGACCCACACTTTTTGAAAAAAAAAAAAAATTACAGCACGCAAAACGAATCTCTATAACATTACACAATCACTTTTCCTACAACATAACTATTATAAAATCCTATATATATATGGATAGTATCGATTGACAAAAATTCTTTAACTTTTGATTTTCGTGAATTTAATAATTATAATTTATTGGGTTTTATTAATTAATTATTAATTCTCAATAAATAAAAATTGTTAGATTACAAAAATCAACCGTTATAATTTAGTGTCAAATATTTTACCAATATGTATATAAATGTAGGAGATAATAATCTTATGTCATCGAGACATAGAAATATGTGTCTGCATTTTCTTTTCTTTTTTTATTTTTCTTTAGCTTGTGGGCTCCACATTTTTTGTTATTGCTGGAAAAAAATTTCTTTCATATTGAATGAGAGAAGTATATATATATATATATCCTTTTAAACGATAGTCATTTTAATTAAAATGACTATTTTTTATTTACTATTTAAATTTAAAAAAAATTCTACTTTCTCTCAGCATAATTTCTATTGTGTAACTGTTTCTCTTACCATAAAATACTGTAATTCTGATTAAAATGACACAATTTATGTACCAAAAAATAAAATAAAAAATGACACAATTTTATATCCATTAAAAGGATAAACACTAATCTCATTTGTGTAAGTTGTTGAATGTAAGTGGAATCAATAGTTAAGATTTAATGTAAATCTTACATCCATTATTAATTGTTAATAGTTGATCTAACTTGTACAAACCATTTATGATGCACCGATACTGACATGGGACACGAGACACGACACGACGACACGTTAATTCTAAAAATGTTAAATTTTGACACATTATGACACGTTTTGATATTAAAGAATATTTTTAATATATATAATATAATTTACATTTAATATACATATAATAATCTATAAAAATTATACAACCAATAAATATCTTGAATAATTTTATCTATAAACATGTTCCTCATGCGTGTGTTAAAGGTATTGATTATAGAACTTATAATATTATTTATAAAATATTTTGATTATTCAATATAATTTAAAATATTTGTCATTTAAGATAATATCTAATAAATAAGATGGCCATTAAATAGAAAGCAGCTTTTGCAGCTCAGTAGTCACTACTTGATAAACTCAAATCTCATTTTTTTTTCTTTTCACCACTTTCTCTATTAGCCCTTTCCTCTTTTTTCTCATATCTCATGGGGTTTCCATAATCTTCTAGCTCTGCTATTCCTCATGCATTTTTGCTTCCATTGTTGTCGTTATAGTCACTAGCCAGTGGTCATCGGAGCGTAGTGGAACCCAGCTATGAATGGCTTCGCTGGCGACGACAATGAGCCAACCCGGTCAGCCAGCTGCCACATGTTCGCCTTGCACGTACTTGTTCTGGTTCCCCCAACTTGAAGCTCAAGGCCTCATAGGCAACAACGCCATTGGAACTCGCTTTCCCTAACTCATCAATTTCGCTCTGACCTCTCTCCTTGAATCAATCTTTTTCTTCTTCTTCGACTCGTTCCAAAACCTTACATTTTTGCCTTTTGACCGAGTCAGACTCGCTTTCCCTGACTCGCGTGTCGAGATAGTCAACATGTCCGAAAAAATTAACCGCATGTCAAACGTGTGTTGGAGCGTGTCTGAACGTGTCGGTGTCATACACGTGTCGAACACGCATTTTTTTTGCAAAATGGCGTGTCTGTGTTGCATAGCAAACCATTAGATAAAAATAAGATTAACGGTTCAAATTGAGTGCAAGACTTAGTATTTTTATATTTGTGTGTAAGTTAATCATTTTCTTAAATTGAGCAAGAATCAACTTACATACAATGTTGTGAAACCCGGATTGACCTGAAACTCAGTGAACCGATCATCAAACCGATTTGAGTCAACTATCGGACCAGCCATACATCGAACCCGGTCAAAACCCTTCCAAAATTGGTGACACGGTTGGGTCATGCATTTTAAAAAAAAAATGTATAACTCATTTTAAATTTTTTTGTAATTTTATTTGCTAGTAGTGTATACTATTCTACAATTACCTCAAATTTCAGCTTCCAATACTATAATAATTTACGGAACAATAAATTAAGAGAATGTGACATATGTTATTTTAATGTAGATGAATTTGAAAAATATGAATTCACAACATCTGATCTTTTGAAAATGTTTGAGAGGTATGCTTATGGAGATTATGAGTTGCAATTTAAATTGACATAGTAATAATGTGTATTTTTATTTATTTGTGCTTCATGAATTTATAAAAGTGTAATTAGATAATTTTTGAATTTATTTAGTGAACCTTGTTTAAATCATTTTAAATATAAAAAATATAATTAAATTTATATATTCATATTTATATATATATATCCAAGTCAACCTTTCGACCAGTGACCCAGTACCCTTACCGAATCAATGTCGAAGTCGGTTTAATAATATTGCTTACATAAATATAAGTCTTATATTTATTAGCTTAAGTGCATTCATTTTATTATTCTTATACTTTGTTCTTCTCTATGTGTCTGTCTCTCTATATATTTATAGGGTCATATACTTCTTCTGTCATTGGAGATGAGAAAAAATGCAGCAACACTTATTTTTATCAGGATACGCGTTCGAATTCTGATGTGTTTTTTTTTTTTTAAGTCAGGATACGACCCCGTATCCTAGTGTTAATAATTTGCTGCAACTTTTCTCGTCAGCAGTGAAAGGAGAAACGACGAACCCGTATATATAGTTGCACAATTTTTCGTGGCACATTAGTTTTAATGAAAATTAATGACAAGGTTTCATTGCTATTTGGTCTTACAAAAATGGCTAATACAATACTATACAATTTGTACATTCATTGTCTTAGAAAAGAAAAAATTCCACCTAGTGAGGAGGGGACAGAAAGAGTTCAAGTTCTGGTTTTTTCTCCCCACAAGAGCCAATACCGCGGATGCTGTTGCGGTGTCATTTAGGGACGATTAGGTAGAAACTCGTTTAAATCGTATTGTATTTGAGTCAATTTCATTTAATTGTTCAAATATCGATTTTACACATATTTATTTAATCATTATAAATAAATATAATAAAATACAAATTTTAAAATGGAATAACTCGATGTATTTTTTAAGGTAATCTAGGTTTTTAAATCAAATTATTCACATTAATTTTATTTTATTTAATAATTAAGTATGGGGGAACCGTTCTATGTAGCACCGATACGGACACGAGACACGTGACACGATACAACACGACATTCCGACACGTTAATTCTAAAAAATGTTAGATTTCGACACGTTAAGACACGTTTTGATATTACATAAAATTTTTAATTTATGTAATATATATTGTATGTAATATTTAATAATTTAACAAAAAAAATGAATCTAAACTTATAATATTCATAAATTTTGAAAAGAAACATAAGATATCCCAAATATTTATATTAAATTCAAAAAAATGGTAATCGTAGTTTAACGAATCTAATAATTGAAACTAAAATCTCAACGCAACGCAACCTTTGAACCTTTTTTTGAATTTCTATAACACGTGTTGGAGTGTCGGAGAGTGTCGGAGTGTCCGAGAGTGTCGGACACGACACTTCAGAATTTTTGAAGTGTCGGTGCTTGATAGGAACCGTTTCAATTCTAGATCAATGAATAGGATTTAATCGTGTCCAATCAAGATGAGCACTGGAAATTCAAGTTTGACTTGTTGAAAAAAAATTAAAAGAAGAAAAAGAAATTATTCAAGCTTGACTCTGTTTATTCAAACGAGTATAATTAACGGGCAAAACACTTTTTTATGTTACGATTTTTGATTTATGTGTAATTTTTTTCTTTTTAATAAACGTAGGACTCACAGTCATCATTAGTTGAGTCACAACATAAAAAAATAATTCTTATACAACATGGAAAATCAAAGCCTATAATTAAAAGGTTTTATAATTCTCATTTAATATGAGAATTACAATTTTCCTACACACCCTTCGATTTCCGTGCTGACATGAGTTCTACATATAATTTTTTCTAACACATGTGTCCCACATGCTTTTTATCTCTACAACATGAGATTTCAATTCTCCTTCAACATGAGAATTATAAAACCCATAATTAAAAGCCTAAACTTTACTTGTTTAAAAAAAGTTTAAATTTGATTTGTTTAGTTCGTTTATAAATTAATTATTCATTTTTAAATTAATTCATTTTTTAATAAACATCTTTATATTAGAATGTGAAGTAAAATGAAAAAAAGAAGAAGTAAAAATAAAAACTCAAAATTTAATACATAAACATATATAACTTTCCACAATTACAAAAAGAATTTCTAAAATAGATTCCTAGCTTTCAAAAAAAAGTTCATATATATATATATGAGTTATATTGTAGAAAAAATAATCGTGTAATCTTAAAGAGATTCGTTTTGCGTGCCGTAATTTTTTTTTCTTTTTTTTTTTCTTCAAAAAGTATGGGTCTCACAAAATGTTGTGTGTATAGAAAATTTTGTTGTGTCATGTTAAATGACAAATGCAAACCCCTATATATATATATATATAAGGTTATATTTATCTTATTCAACTTGAGATAAACTAAATTTCTACACATACATAATAAAGGTGGGTCCCACCTCTATTTTTTTTCTCCAATTATTTGTGGGTTCCTCTTATAATTTTGTTTCCCTAACATAAGATAATTATCTCCAACAACATAAGAAAAACATTTCCCATATATATAATTGGAGTTAAATATGCTTATTTATATAATTAAACCTAACTTCAACCTTAAATTGATTTATTTGGGAGAAAATCATCTCATGTGTTAGTTAATATGACCATATTATGTGAGAAGATCTTAATCATTTATGAGTAGATCAACGATGATGATTTTGTCACTCTCTATTCTAATATATTTTTTCTCATTTTTTTTATACATATTTTCTCTCTCTCTCATTTCTATCACCATTGATTTGCCCATAAATAGTTAGGATTATTCTATGTAATATGGTACATATTAATTAACACATAAAAGAATCCATTTCAGATTCATTTAATTAAATGATTTTATTGAACTGAAGTGTTCCCCCTCCCCGCAAATATGAAAAGAGTAATTATGATATTTATTTATTGGGTTCTCAGTTACGGCATATAAGTTATTTGCAGTAAGCTCAATATGACGTCGTTTTGAGCGAAAATTATGGTATTTTTGTAATTTTAATTTATTTCAGGGTTATGATAGTCTTTATATTTATAATTTTTTAAAATTTCAATACCAAAACAACGTCATTTTGGGAATAAATACAGATAATTTAACTGCAGAAACATTTTTTCCTTATTTATTTTCTTAACATCCATAACTTAATGAACTATGTATAAATTATTCATTTTATAATAAAATATTGAATAAGGTTATTCTTACAACTTACTAAAATCATGTCGGAAATTGTTAAATTAAAATTAATAAAATGAACTTACTAATTTTTTTATTTAATTCTTATAATTTTTAATAAGTTCAAGAATATGGTACAGAGATTAAATAAAAATATCGTTAAAAATATAAAAGTTTTATTCTAAAGTTTAAACTATATGAACTTATCTACTTAAAAAATATAAATATGTACAAACGAATTTAATCATTCAAGTATGGACAGTAAAAATAAAAATGAACATAAACACTAAATTAATTGTGGAAAGATATAAATATTTTCAATTAGTTGATCAACAATAACGATGTCGATATGTTTGGTTTTGATTATTATGAGATAAATATATATTTTTAATTTTTAATATTTTATTATAAATTATTTTAAATATAAGATAAGCTCGAATACTCGTCAAATATGTTAAAACAATACTCTAATGTCTATCTTTGACACTAAATTATCATTTATTATTATTGTTAACGTCAAATAGTTATTAAAATGGATTAAATCGAAAACCAAATTGGATATTTTCTAATCATTTTGGCATAGAATTAAAATGGATATTAATGGTAAAAACATTAAAAATAAATTAATTTACTTTTGAATTAAATAAAAAATTATCACCAATAATAATTGGTTTAAATGGTAAGGAGAAAATAAAATTGAGAGAGTTACTCCCATATAAATGATAGTATTGGAACTAAATTAAGTTGATGGGATAAAAAATTTAATATTTGTCATGTTGTATGAGATAAAAATTTATATTATATTATATATATATATATATATATATATATAGTTTGCTTTTTCTGCAGTTACTGCAGATAAGTTATCTGCAGTAGGCCCATACGACGTCATTTTGGGACAAAAATCATGGTGTTTTTGTTATTTTAATTTATTTCAGGATTATAATAGTCTTTATATTTATAATTTTTTAAGATTTCAATACCAACGACGTCGTTTTGGGAATAAATGCAGATAACTTATCTGCATTAACTGCAGAAATATTTTTTCCACATATATATAAATATATAAGATCCATATTTTTTTCTTTTTTTTTTTCACATAACCCTGTACATTTTTATGTATGTATTATCTTCTAGAACGAGTTACTACCTCTTTTTCTTACTACCTCTTATAACCAAATTTTAATCTTTATTTTTCATCAATCTAACGGTTATAATTTATTAGAAATTAATAAATATGATCTAATAAATTATAACCGTTAGATTCATAGAAATCAATGATTAAAATTTGATAATAAAAAAAGAGATAATAAGTATAACCTCTCTTAAAATATTAATAAATTTTTTTTATAAACAATCACACAACTTGAGCAATAAGTAAGGGATTATGGAGGGACAATGGTCAAAGTGCCACTCTTGCAAAAAAAAAAACACCAAAATGCCACGCCAATAGTAAATTTTGCCAAAATGTCACGTGGCATATTTCGCTACACTGTGTAGCGAAATATGTGTGTAAATAATTCGCTACACGGTATAGCGAAATATGCCGCGTCAGAATGCACAAAACAAAAAATGCCACGTGTCAGACAGGGAGAATTTCGCTACACTAAATTCTCCCTGTTTGACACGTGGCATTTTTGGTTCTGACGTGACATATTTTGCTACACCGTGTAACGAATTATTTGCACACATATTTCGCTACACAGTGTAATGAAATATGCACGTGGCATTTTGACAAAATTTATTGTTAACGTGGCATTTTACTATTTTTTTTTTTTTTGCAACATTGGCCACTCTTCCGGATGATGGACCTACTCAAAATATAATAATCAATATATAGAGTACAAAATGTACACGTAATAAAAGCATAATAAGATATGCTGTTTTATTTTTACTACGACGAAGTCATAAAGAAAACCCCAATCTCTCCGCACTCCGCAGCATAACAATAACAAAACACCTTAAACCTCTTCACCTCTTCTTGTCTGTGTGTTCTGGTGGCGCCTTCTTTACACCCTAACTCTTTTCACTCGCACTCTCTTCCTTCTTTCTCTCTGCCAAATCTTCGTCTTCTACGCTGATCGTAAGCTCAATCATCATCTCAATTACCACACCACACTCTTTTCTTTTCTTCTCTTCCCTTTCTCATTTTCATTCATTTCCAAACTACTAACTGAAATTTCCAACAAACTATGCAATTCTCTCATTTTCTGTTATTATATGTAATATATAATTCTTAATTCATTTATCTCTCATCTCATTTTTTAATTTTTTAATCGTGATTGATACTTTCGTTCTAGTTAGCTAGTTAGTTCCCTGTAGAAGCTTTAACTTAGATGTGCTTTTTTGTGTTTTTCTCAGAACTCAGAAGAGAGGTTAGCTTGAGACAATGGCATCGAGAACGATTTTGAGGAAGAGGAGTAGTTTTGTTCATCAATCCGTGAATGGTTCAACTTGTCACTCTCTGGAACGCGCTATTGCTACAACATCTCCTCCATCTAAGCATTTCAACACCGATGATGGAAAATCACTGTGCAAAGGGGAATTGTTCAATCTTTCTGGATTGGGAATATATATTCCAAGATTCACGAGATCGGCGGGTTCACTTAATGGTTTTTCCGGATTGAATGAACCGTTAGGTGTGAGGTGGTTGATGTCGCAGTCTGCTGCTGCGGCTGCTAAGCAGCCGGAGCAAGACAACGAAGGGAATGATGATAATCTGGTTGCTAAGAAGAGGAGAGAAGCTTCTCCGGAGGAGTGCGATCAAGCCGTTGAAGGATTGACCACTGCCAAAGCTAAAGCCAAGGCAAAGCGATCTCAAGAATCTCATAAAGTGGTGCAAACCGTTTTGCAGCGTGTGTGGGCTGTGTTTTTGGGGATTGGTCCTGCCTTGAGAGCTGTGGCATCCATGAGTAGGTTGGGCTCCTTCCTTGATAAGCATTACTTGGTTTTAAATTGCAGTTAGGGTTGTGTTGTGATTATAGAAATTGTTGACAATTGCCGGAAAATACGGCTGACGTGGCCGCATTTGTGTGGACTTCCAAAACTGGAATATTGCAACTGTAATTGATGTTATGGATTGCAATTTAAATCCATTTAGGGAAGGGGAACCTTGACTCGCAATGGTTGGTGATGTCGCCACGCCACGTGGTCCTAAGGTCATATTTTAGATTCATATATAATCAGCTTCTTGCAAATGTAAGATAAGGCTGCTTACTATAGACCTACGTAATTGGTCTGACTTGAACGCTGCGCATAGCGGGGGCTTTATAGCACTGAGCTGCTCTATTATTTATTAGTACTTGACAATTTGACTTTTGGTTTGCCAATCCTTACTGCAGGGAGGACTGGGCCAAAAAACTTGTTCACTGGAAAGGGGAAATCATATCGACGTTGCAGCATTACTGGTTGGGATTTAAGCTGCTGTGGGCTGATGTGAGAATCAGTTCCAGGTTGTTGTTGAAGCTTGCTGGTGGGAAGAGTCTATCTAGAAGGGAGAGACAGCAACTGACGCGGACTACTGCCGATATCTTTAGGCTAGTTCCTTTCGCAGTTTTCATTATTGTTCCCTTTATGGAATTCCTCCTGCCAGTGTTTCTAAAGTTATTCCCCAACATGTTGCCATCAACATTTCAAGACAAGATGAAAGAACAGGTAATCACTAAGATTGTTTTTGCTCTTTGTTTGTTTTCTTCACACATTATGTTAGCTCATTATAATCTGCACATAAATATTTATGCATTAGTGATGATTGTTTTCTCATCTCTTGTTGAAAGTGTCCTACCGATTAAAACCTTTTGTTCCATTCCATCTTTTACCAAGGGAAAGTGAAATACTATATGTAAGTCACTGCAAGGTCTGTTGAAGGCGCTATGTAAAGGACAGCTCTCAATGATCAATATCAATACAATATCCATTTTTCACTAATCTGCATCACCGGTTACAAATTGTACATGAGCTCATGCTAATAAATGTTCTATGTTTTATGGAAGCCACTGGTAGTGAATAGTACTGACCCTGATTGGAAACTATTTTCGTTAATGTAACATCATTCAACAGTATTGGTATTAACCAGAGTATATATATAAAAAAAAAATTAATGTCTGTGTATTTGGAGTGTGCATTATGTTTTATTCAGTTGTTATGAATGTGTGGGACTGGATTTCCCTTTGTTGATTGGTTGACTCAGTTGCTCAATGTGTAGGAAGCATTGAAAAGGAGACTCAAGGCAAGAATAGAGTATGCAAGATTCCTCCAGGATACAGTCAAAGAAATGGCAAAAGAAGTTCAAAACTCCCGTAGTGGAGAACTGAAGAAAACAGCTGAAGATCTTGATGAATTTTTAAACATGGTTAAAATTCAGTTTAAAGAATTGTTTATCACTCTTTCTTCCCAGATGTTTTTTCCTTAATTTGTCATTTTGTCCTTCAATATCTTTCTGCAGATTAGAAGAGGTTCACGTGTCTCTAATGAGGAAATTTTGGGCTTTGCTAAGTTGTTTAACGATGAACTTACTCTAGATAATATAAGCAGGTTGGTCTCTAAACTCTGTTTGACATCCGTTTGCCCATTTTTCGAGTTGTGAGGAGATATCATGACTTCTATTGTGTCTTTGCTGCTCTCAGGCCACGATTAGTCAATATGTGCAAGTATATGGGAATCAGCCCTTTCGGCACTGATGCATACTTGCGTTATATGCTACGAAAACGTTTACAGAGGTAAGATGCATTCTGTCATACTAGTTGTGATAACCTTTTTCGTTTCTAATTTTAATACAATTTAGAAAATTATAAAAAATTATATTTTCTCTAATAAGACACCTTGCTATCAGAAAAGATTTAATATGATTGGCCTTCCCTTACTATGTTATCCGGGGGGGGGGGGGGAGATAAGATAACAAATAATCCTATGTAAATTGTACAATTCAATAAATGCAAGATTGAACACTTTACAAGTCATCTTTAAAAGCTTTGGACTTGGGACAAAAAAGGATTGAACTCCACAAGACCACAACTATGGCCCTGAAAGATTTGGTACGAGTCTAGGGTTTATCAATGTAATCCCTTTTCCATCTTAATTTCTCCTTAATATGTTTAATAATAGGAGAATATTACTTCAAACTGCTCTTGTATGCTACAACATTCGATATCAGGTGTTATAACTGTGATTAGCATTGGAAGTGACAAAAACTCAACAAAATAGTTTACTTTTTCACCTTTTGAGATGCTATAATTACATTACCATTTAACTTGATGAACCTCATAATTGTGTATTACATACAACATTTCCCCTTTTTGTTAGGATTAAGGAAGATGATAAATTGATTCAATCAGAAGGTGTGGATTCTCTTTCAGAAGCTGAACTTCGGGAAGATTGTAGGGAGCGAGGCATGCTTGGGTTGCTTTCTGTTGAAGAAATGCGCCAACAGGTTTTGTGTTGGGAACAATTCATGATTATTTATGTTCTATTGGAGTACTGAATCTTGATGCTGATATTGCAATCTCAGTTATCTGAATATCCAATGTTACTTTGGTATTTCTATTCTAAAATTTGTTAACCTGCCTGTACAGCTTCGAGATTGGTTGGACTTATCTCTGAATCACTCCGTGCCATCATCTCTTTTGATACTTTCAAGGTAATTTTAGCAAGGCCTCCTTGCAGGCTCCAAAGAATAAAAAAGTAAAGAAAGAACCCACAGGATATGCATTTTGAAATCTTGCTTGATACCCTTTATAGGGCATTTACTGTGTCTGGGAGGATGAAGCCAGAAGAAGCTGTACAGGCTACAATTTCTTCTCTCCCTGATGAGGTTGTAGATACTGTTGGTGTTACGTCTTTACCCTCGGAGGATTCTCTCTCAGAGAGGAGGAGGAAATTGGAGTTCCTTGAAATGCAGGAAGAACTTATTAAGGTATGATACGGAATAGTATTGCTCTTAATACTTGTCTTATTAAAATGTCTCTTTGTTGCTTTAGGATGAAAAGGTTTTTCTGTTGGATCAGTATCTGATTGTTAGGTATAAAACCATTCATGTGCTTTCACCTAGTTGGTTCATGAGATGATATTAAAGTCTTTATGACCATATAGTCTAGAGTTTAATCCTTGTGTCCCATTCGTCTAAATGAACAATTGAATTTTAGTACAAGGTAGGCGGATCTGTTTACTATCACATTTGAAGCCCAAAGTGCTTTTACTTGTAGGGGCGTATTATATATAAAACTATCTATGTGCTTTCATCCAATAGCTTAAGTTTTTGGTATAATTGATTCATAATACTGATATTTGCTTTGCTTCATATGACAAGAATCTACATAAAATTACTAAATGATCAATAAAAAAAATCATTCCAATATTTTGTTTGACAGATTCCAATCGGAGTCTAGTTAGAAAGGTTAAAGAATAAAGTATTGGGGGTTGATATGCATAGTTCACCATAGAAATGTCATTTCTAGGTTTAAAGATTTAGAATTGATGAAAATTTAGTAACTATCTTTTGAATCAAGATTCCATGGTTCCAAAAACTGTGATAAATAATATAGTAATATGAATAAAATGCAGGAGGAGGAAGGGAGACAGGAGGTGGAGCAAGCAAGAGTGGATATTAATTCTAGTCAAGACGATGATAAGGCTCTGAAAGAGATGAATATTTCAACGGCAAAAGAAGCCCATCAACTTGCTAGAGCCAGAACATTGGAAAACCAAGAGCAGCTGTGTGAAATTAGTCGTGCATTAGCTGTTTTAGCTTCTGCGTCGGTGAGAATTTGATGTTTAAAGATTTCACTTACTACAATTTGGTGAATTGCTTTTGATTTTGTATGATCCTTACTAAGTAACATGTAAGCAGTTTAATGCGTACTTACGTCTTTTACTCTGATGGCAGTCTGTAAGTACAGAGCGTGAAGATTTTCTGAGGCTGGTTAACAAAGAGGTATTTTGGAACTTTTAGTTTTCATCATTTGCTTTTCCAACTTCTATTTATTGCCTTTAATAATTATATATTTTTGGGAATGATAAAGATTCCATGTGCTTTTGAACTGGTACTCCTAAATCAGCTAATGTTTTTCTGAGTTATGTTACTGGGTGCATTTAAAATTTCTTAGTTAAGAATTATTTTATTTGATTTTTAAAGTTGGCTAACAAATTTTATTTGAAATTATATATATATATATATATATAACCCATATGCCATCCTCATCTTCGGTTGTTTTTTATGTCTCCAGATAGAACTTTATAACAGCATGGTAGAGAAAGAGGGTTCAAATGGTGAAAAAGATGCCTTTAAGGCATATAAAGCTGCCCGAGAGGAGCATGAGCACGATACTGAGTCTGGTGAAGGGGATGAGGTGTCTTCAGCACTCATAGAGAGAGTAAGCCCCATATTTTATCTAGTCTTAGAGAAAGCTAGAAACTAATTTTCCACTTCTAAATTTGTAATTTTTTGAAATTCCATTAGGTTGATGCTATGCTCCAAAATCTTGAGAAGGAAATAGATGATGTGGATGCCAAAATTGGTGACCGTTGGAGACTGCTGGATAGGTTTGCACTTGCTCTGCAACATTGACCTTTGATTTTTTTTATTTTTTTCTTGGGGATCACAAAGGAGGTCTATGAGCTGGTGTAGGGAGGGAGAGGTATGCTAAGTTTAGGCAAAGCAACCTGGCTGTGATGGATCCTATGATCAAGCAGTCCCTGAAGGGACTTGGTTTCATTTGAGCTAAGGCGCTTTGACATTGCGCTTTTTATTGGTCATGCTTTTGTCCTTACCGTATCATATCTCCTTACTGTGAATTATGTGTTTTCATACTACACTTGCATAAATTAAGTGAAAGTTGAACTATGAGTGTCACTGCATGCTTGAATATACTACTTAAGTTTCTAAATGAGTCATTTGATTTAGTTTTTCTTTTTTAGTATTTTCTATTAATGGTTTGAGGTCACAGAGTGTTCTCTTTCGCAATTGATGTTCTTACTAGAGAAGTAGAGGGATGGATAGATTAAGGGACAGAAAGTGATTGCTGTTGGATTGAGATTTGGGGCAAGATGTTATAATTGTGTAAGACAAGGGACCTTTCTTTGGTCAGAATCTGAATTTTTAGTAAAAATGGGCATTTTATTGCATGTACTAGCTCAGTAAAATCAGCATAGAAAGAATTCAGTGACTTACCACCAAAGATACCATGTTTATCTCTTTCTCGTGCTTCTTTTTATCTACATAACCACCAAGTGGGGCTGTTTCCATTAAGGCTTTCCACAATGATTGCGATATGTCACAGTTGGCACTACTTTGTTGTGCTTTATTATCTAAAGGATTTGTATTCTGTGACAACTTAAGTTCGCTAATACAAGGAAAATTGAAAAAGAGGGGAAGATATTTTCATTCCATTTTGATTGCGATTATAAGGTGCTGGCATTTGAATGGCAGACGGATAATAGTTTTCAAACATATTTTCTAAGTTGCAACGCATACTGATCAACTCCAAATGGGAAGAATTCGTTTCTACATCTTTTTGTTAAAACTAGTTGGGATGTCAACGTGTGATTATTAATTTCACATGATAAATTTGACAGGTCTTGTTGAAGCCTTTTGAATGATTTCTTCTATTTTGCCACTTATACTAGTCTTTTATTTTACTGGGACAATGTATGTTTGCAATGACTTACTGTTCAAAACTTGAAGAGTTTTTTGGGCTTTTGCAGAGATTATGATGGGAAAGTAACTCCTGAGGAGGTAGCATCTGCTGCAATGTACTTAAAGGATACATTGGGCAAGGAGGGTATCCAAGAACTCATCAGCAATCTTTCCAAAGATAGAGGTCTGTCGGTTTTCTCTCACACAAATCTTGTATTTTTGAATTCTTATTAATTCTAGATTATTTTTAGTCTATAACAGCCTCTTTGAAAATATGTAAGGGTAAGACTGGTACAAGAATTGCTCTCTCCTCTATCCTCCCTAGTTGGGATTTAATGGAGAGTGGTTTTTTTTAAGGCATTTAAAAAAGGGTTTGTTCTCCATTCAAATAAAATGGAATTTCACCTGTAGAATAATAGGTGCTGAAGAGTACCTCAGACAGATGAACCAAAAGTGTTCCTCTATGAGTTTTAGAAGGGTGGTTATGCCATTAAAGTATTATTTTCAGTGGGTTACTAAAATCATTAAAAAAATAATTTTAAAATGACTGCTTTTGAGAGTTTACTAGAACAGTATTTTAACACTCATTTTTTTCTGTCGCTTGTGTTGACATTTTATTTTTTTACTCCATGTCCTTTGTGAGTTGCAAGTCGTTCTGTGTTCATGAGGAAGTTGAACTGAGAAATCAACCTGATGGCACCAGAAACTTGTATTAGATGAAATTAAACGAAATGAGTTTTTGGAGATATCTTCTCCTTGAGTACAGCTAAATCCAACGTCTACTACAACCAAACTCTAATACATATATACTACTATACACTCATTAAAAAAGGCAGAAAACAGAATGGAAACAATTATGAATTGAGGCACAGCACACTACTCCTTTGCTCCCTCCTCCACAAGAAGGCAATCTTCTCAGAGAGTTCCCTTTCCCTTTGCATAATTCTGTTCATGCCCCCACTGCTTTTTCCCTCCTCGCCTTTAACCAATTCCCCCACTCCTTTCCACACCCACATCCTCCTCACCATTCACAGAATGCCACCTGTCCACACCTCTTAACAAACTTCACTTCCTCTATTCCAGCCGTCTCATTTCTGTTAACACTATTCCCCTCTGCCTGTTAGTGTATTGGCCTGATTGTTGAGCTGATTTACTTGGGCCTTTTTCCTTATCTTCTTACGTTTGTATACCTTCATTTGTCCATCACAACCAAAATGTTTTGGTGTATAAATTCTTATGTTTTGATTTGATGGGACCCTGAAGTCTGACAGGTCCCACCGCCCCCTTTTTTTTCTTCGGGGTGGGGAGAGGGAAGGAGGCATCTTTGGTTGAATAGTCTGGGTGTAATTTTTCTCTGAATGATGTTTAGTGACTGTTAGTCAAAGCTATCTATTTCATGAATGCAATGATGACTGCAGTTACTTTTGTTGATACAGATGGGAAAATACTTGTTGAGGACATTGTTAAATTGGGCGGTTGGAGGGACGATGGTAATGCAGCTGAGGATAGGACCATGTAGAGGGTATGATCCCTAACCTGACCTCCAGAAACATCTTATTTGTTATTCCATGCTATATAAAATATGTCGCGCAAATATATTTATAGGCCATTCGAATCTTAGTCATTGATTTTGTATTCATGTATTAATAAGTAGTTCAAGTGTAGCAGTCAGATGAAAATGAAGTGTGTGCGAGCTCTGTAAATTTTTGACAGCTGATCACGCAAATACACTTACATTTACATATGATACAACATTTAGGGCCTTGTTGGCTATTGGGATGCATCTACTGTACTAAAATTGAAAGTTAATCCCATGAAATATAAGTGAATGATTATATTGACTTTGTGAATGATTATAATTTTAAATCACGACCAACCTCATGGTGAATATCTAAGTTACAAATACAATGCCAAAGCTATTGTAAATTAAACTCGAACATTTCAAGCTGCAAGTCATGTGATGGCTAGTTAATGCCTCTTTGTTTTGGGACCAAATCACGTTTGCGGTGGGAAAACTCAAGTCTCAGAGTAGTTAGTTTGTTATATTTACATTTTGAGTTTTCAAAATTAATTTTGTAGCAACTAAAATTGATTTTAAGATAAATACAAGTTTTTACCTTTTCCCTTGAGTAGAATTAGTTTTAGACGTGATATTGACAAAAAATTTAAAACATTTTTTTTTCTTATTTCAAAAGTGATTTTATTTTATAATCCAAATATAAATTAATTTGTATAACATCAATTCTTTTTAACATTAATTCTTTCAACATTAATTTTACCAGAATTTAAAACAAGCCACGTTGACATGTTAGGCAATAGTTACAAAGTGATAGGACTACTGAATTTCTCAACAAGGATTGGCGGGTTAGCCTCTTGAAAGTTTCCCGAGAAAGCAATGGCTGTGCTGACATCTGTGCTAAATTGGGCTTTCAGAGTAGAGATGAGAGGTTGTGCATTCTCCTCAGCCGGTGTTGAGTCTGGTTCAGCATGACTATTCCTATTCCGGATTGTTGCAATCTTCTAACAACTCGTGGCGCTGTACTAAGTTTTTATGCTTTTTGTGTTTTGGGCTTAAAGCTCTCCTTGTATACCGAAAGGAAAAAAAAAAAAAAAAAAAAAAACTGAAATGTGATGGGACAATAGTTAAGAGTTAAGACCAAAGTTTATATCTTTGGCTTCTACGTAGACAAAGAGTGAGGATATTTTAACTACTAAAAATTCTTACTATTAACTTACTACCTATCAAATTACCATTGGATCAAAGAGAGAGATTATTAAAAAGTTTTTGAAGAGAGAGAAAATGTTAATCTAATGATGATTAGATAGGTAGTAAATTGGTAGTGAGAATATCTCTTCTCGTAGACAAACACACATAGCATTTCGTGGTCGATGTGAAAGCAAATTTTTTATTTTTGTTTTAACGTGGGTAATAGATAGAACTTGGGATTGTTGAATGTCTATTAGTCACGCGCACGCCTATTTATCTCCGATGGGAGACTTGATACCCTATTTTTGAAGGGCCACATAGCAGACTACCCAAATCAGTTCTGCCAATGAACCCTGACCCGGGGAAAAAATTTCAGAGATCCCTGGCACATGAATCAATCAGTGGGCCCAGCCAATAAGAATGTGACACCGACTGAGAGCAGTGTACAGAGAAAAGAGAAAATAAAATAAAATTTACGAGTATCAATTTCTTGAACGAAGGAGCATGTGGACTGGAAGCTCTGAATTTTTCCTCCTGACCCGGTGAAGGAAATACTTAGGACTTAGGAGGAACCATGTTACTTTCTTTTCTTTTTTTGTAATATTAACCGGGGTCCAAAGTTTTAATGGACCTTATTAATTCGGTTTTGGATTTAAGTCTCTCCATCCTCTCCAGAAATTATTATTTGTAGTTAGTGATATCTTCTTCGGTTACAGTCTTATTAAATATATCTTCTTGAGATAGTCTTATTAACTATTTTGTTTTTGTTTTTTCAAATGGATTCAAAAGAAATTCTTGCTTGGCTTGTTAATCACGAATAGAATAAAATTATAATAAAAAATAATTTGGTGTGCAATACTACTCCTTGCAAAGATAAAGGTGAGGGTTAACTATTTGCAACTTTACCTTGGGCCCCTAAGGAACAATCGTCCCACTCCAAAACTTGCCGTCTAGAATTTAAAGATTGAAAGAAAAGAAAATAACTCATTTTAAAAACTTGAGCTTTCTGTTTAAATTATATTGAATTCGGTCTCATACTTTAATCAAGTTCAAATTCAGTCTATCAAATGTGAAGACAACATATCACTAACTGACTCTATGGGTGTAAATACATACATGTATATAATTTAACATACACTATGTGTCTATGCTATCAACTAAATAGATGCACCACTTATTAAAGTAAAATAAAATTCTCATACAATCCAATTTCAAATACTCTCCCTCAGTTGTAATTTATTGAGGGAATCCACAATCAAATATCACTTGTAACCAACAGGGATATTTAGCTTAGGATCTCTTCAGCTTATTTGCAAATTCATTGATGTTGTTGTATGAAGTGCCACCCTCACTTACTGCTTCTATAGCCAATTCCTTCCATTTCATAGCATTCATCCTCATTTCTCTTCCAAGGTCCTTTTCCATTATTTTCCTTATGCAATGCTCAATCTCTTCTCTTGTCACAATTCCATTCTCATTTAACTTAACTCTGATTCCCACCTTCCACACATCCTCAACAAATTTTGCATTGACAGGCTGGTCAGTCCATTGTGGCATTGCAACCATAGGCACCCCCAAGCACAATGCCTCAAGTGTTGAATTCCATCCACAGTGTGTTAGAAAGCAACCAATAGCATGGTTTGATAGCACTTCCAATTGGGGGCTCCAATTCACTATCAAACCCCTTCCACATGCACTCATCTCCTCCACCAACTCTTTTGTCAGCTTTTTTCTCTCTGTATCAGTGATCACCCACAAGAAGTTGAAGCCAATTCCCATTAATCCCATTGCTATTTCTTCCATCTGTTCTGTGCTAAAGGAAACAAGGCTGCCAAATGATGCATAAACAACTGACCCTGCTGGCTTTGGTTTGAGCCAGTCACTACTGGCTGATGATTCTAATTGAAAAAGATGTAAATTATTGTCTGTGTCATTTGGGACTCCCTTGTCCAAGTAAAAGGATGGAACTGTTGGCCCAATCGTCAATGATGGACATAGCTTTGACATGGAATCCACCACCTATATATATATATATATATATATATCATTAATATGGAGGAAAATAATAAGATCATAAATTGTTCAACCAAACTCTATCATAATTCATATTTTTGTATCAAAATTACTTATCTGAATCAGTTACATCACTACTCAACCACATCAATTTGAATCTGTGATTAATATATGATCTATAATTCTACTAAGTGAAGGGAACCCTTGTTGACACTTTGTTATGTAACCAAGAGAGTATAGGGTTCAATTAACATATATCAGTTCCTTGCAATTGTAGGATAAGACTGTCTACTATAGAATGAATATTCCTTAAACCCTACACTCCTATAATTTTTTACGTGGAACTTTTAAATATGCTGGTATACCATTTTTGTCACACATATTGATTGACATAACTATTAATATCAAATGAATCAGAAGAAGTGTGACAAGAAATATAAAGAGAAGGAGGTGACTCAAAAACCTGGTCCTCTAGCTTGTAGAAGGAATTGACAAGAACGAAATCTGCTTTGTCAATGTTAGAAAATTGATTCATGACCAAATCAAAGTAAGCTGGATAGGAGCTAGGCTCATGAACAAAGGAAGGTGTGTCTTTTAGGTCAAGCAAGGGAAGTCCTGGAATAGAGAGTGGTATTGAAGAAATGGGGAGCTTTAAAAGTCCATGATGAACATGATAATATATGTGATTGACAGCACACATTTGAGTGAAAAGAGCAGCTCCTAATAACCCAAATTCTTTGGCCACATCCAATACCCAAACAAGAAAGGGGTCATATACTATGCCATCTATGGGGTGATCAGAAGAGTTGTGTTTTTGGATGAGTTCCCTCAAGTTCTTGGAGCCTATAGCTTCCATGCGAGATAGATAAGCTGCTATGCTTTCAGCTTGAGCAAAGCCACCTTGGTCACAGCCATCTGATATGGCATCAAAATGAATAGAGCATGGTAAGGATGATGATTGGAGATGCATGGTTTTGGAGATAAATTTGGTTATGACAATGGTGGGTTTAACTCCTTTGGTGCTCAAGCGTTTTCCCAATTGGACCATTGGGTTTATGTGTCCTTGGGTTGGGAAAGGGATCATTAACACATGCCTACTCTTTTCACTCTCTCTCTTTTCCATCTCCTCCTCCTCCTCCCTAGTCCTTACAAATATATGTTGACACAAGCTTAAGCTACACAGTGGAGGTAATAAGAAGTAGCTTTACCAGTTCAAATGATTTGAAGGTATTTATTTATATACAATAGAATGTTGAATTATGACACCCTCTAATCATTAGCTCATTAGAGATAAGAATTAAGAAGGGTCATTTTATACGGCACCACTCACACATGAACACTTAGTTTTCTTTTTCTTTTTTTTTTTAAATATTAATCGGTGTGTGTGCCGGTGTCTGAATGAAGTCCTATTCAGTTTCGAATTTAAGTCTCTCTCCTCTTCATTCTCAATAATCAAATCTACTTTCTTTTTACTATTAAGATAGATAAAAGTGTTTATCCTTTTACATGACACAACTTATATCATTTCACTCTCATAAAGAAGTGGGATTTATACTTTTATTTTTTTTGTCAACCTCTCTCCTCCTTTATTTATTTCTTTTTCTCTCTTAAAATGACACAACTTTATATCCTTTAAAATGACACGCGCTTTTTTCATTAACTTATAATCCAACTAAACTAATTTTTTATTTTTTTTTATTTTTGTTTCTATTTTTATTTTAAACTAATTACACATATCCAAACCCTTTATTGAAATTTGTTTGCTTTTAAGTTTTTTTTTTTTTTTTTTTTTGAAAACAATCGGTTCATTGCTTCGCAACTAATCCGATTCGAACACATGCTCTCATACACCAACTGAACTACCACCGTTTAGTTTTAACTCTTTCCTCGTGTCTTCCACACCGCAAAATTACTTGCAGCCACTAATTAGTTGCCAATATACTTTTTTTTTTTTTTGGGACTCTTCCAGCATTCGAACCAGGACCATATGGTGTTGTACAAGCAACAACTACCATATTGACCATGAATACTAGTTGCCACTTGCCAATATACTTTTGACTCAGTCGCAACCAACCAAAGTCTTATCCACACAACAACGGATGGTCCGCGTAACAACTAATGCCATGGCTTTCCATGTTTGGCTATACAAAAGATATATTTTATTTAACTATAAAATTCAGTTAAATAATATTTTAACCAAATCCTTATATTTTAATTTCTTTCTTCTAAAAGTTTGTTTTTATACTTTTCCCTTGTCATATCCATGCAATTGCTTAGTATAACAAACATTTTCAATTGACATTTTTTTTTAAACACATACAATATTTAATTATTTATTTAAATTCGAAAAAATGTTATTGAGAAAACAAAGTTGCACCATTTTCCAAAGTAAAAACTTGTTGCGTGTCAAAAATGTTATAAGCAATGAATGACAGATATATAAATAATTAGTTTAAAGGATGTGTTGTCGTGTCATTTTAAATGAAAGAAAGAGATAAATCGTGGAGAAAAGAGTGGACAAAAAATAAATAAATGTGTGGAATAAATTTTCTTTATGAGAATAAAATGACATAAATTATGTCATTTAAAAGAATAAACACTTTTTTTCAAGTTTAAATTAGTTACTTTTTTCTAATATCCTAAGGGGAAGGATATTGTGACAACCAAGTTATGTTACTACCAAGTGACTACCAATTAATCTCACTGTTAGATCGATTATGTTGATCTAACGGTTATATTTATTTTCATCTTTGTACGGTCATGGTTTCTCATATTTAAAGTGAAAGCATTAAATATAGGAAATCATAACCATACAAAGGTAAAAATAAATATAAAGTATTAAATATGAGAAACCATGACCATACAAAGATGGAAATAATTATAACCATTGGATCAACATAATCGATCTAACGGTGAAATTAATTGATAGTCACTTGATAGTAATACAACTTAGTTGTCACAATATCCTTCCCCATATCCTAAAGCTAAGATCATTACATTTTTTAATACAATTCTTTTAAAATTAACTTGCTTCTAAAGTAAAAAATTGTTCACTTTAATATAAAATCCGTCTTAATTTTAAAATTTAATGATAATGATAAAAATACCTTTATTTTCACATTTTAAACACAAGCTAACTTGGCTATCAAAAAAAAAAAGAAGCTAACTTAGTTTTTTTTTGTTTTTTTTAAGTTTTCCTAACTCTTCAAGAGAAGAATCCAAATTTTTTTAGCAGATCTTTTACTAATTGATGCTGACCAGTATTGATATTGAATCGAGAATAAGAAATGAGTTTTTTCAGCTGGAAACCAGGTTAATATTTTTTGTTGTTCTTTGACGTTTTTAGCTATCTGACGTATGATATACAATTATCTATTGATTTTCTATCAATCGATATCTCAGTACCCAAATAATAATAATAATAAAAACTACAATTAGCAAATATACCTCATCTTTTGAAATCAAATTAGATTAGCAAAACACTTTACAAATTATCCCCAAATGTCAAAAAAATTATAGGAATTGATAGTAGTTAATGTTTGTACACTTTTTTGCAGTTGTCAAAACGGCAGCTGGATTTACAAAAAGTTACTCGATGCTTGTTACTTACTATACCTCCTCTACCCCCAGCTTCACCCTCCATTTGAACCAGTTGTTAGTAAAATTTCCTACTTATTTTCAACTATTTCCTTTCCTAGTTTGTTTAAATGGTTACAAGTATACCCCTATAGTACCACTTTTTATGTACACAATAAACACCCCGAGAGCCCCCTTCACTGCTTTGGCAGAAGCATAGTTCAAGAGTATTGATAATCATCCGATTAAAAGACACAGCTCTACCTCGTCCCTCGAACACATACATGCCTTGTCAGTCTCATCAGGAATAGTATCTGAATGCATGTGAGACTGTCCACTAATGTAAGAAACTCCAACCTTTTAAGAATTACATCATTACAACCTGCTAAAACATAAACACCAATGTTACATGTCATATATTTATATATGTATATATGAAAATGGGGTTGGGGGAGTGGGAAGAGAGAAAATTACCCAATTGTTTTAAGCAGGGCTTCAGCAGTGCAAGTCCATGATCCCCCGAGAACCCAAGCAAAGAAATTTATCAAGAGGACAAGAGACAACAGGTAAGCCATCCCTAGGCCCTACAAAGCTTCCAAAGTTATTGATGCCTTGGTGAAAACAGAAAGTACAAAGGGTGCTTCTTCCCCAGGGTGTATAGTAGTAGGAACTATAGTGTATCCCTTTGGCTCAGGCTCCAGAACCATTTCACAGGATATTTCTCGAGAATTAACATAGTCTGTCCCACCAACTGATTCATGTAGGTATATATTGAAGGCGGCACGTCGGCCACGAGTTTTGAGTATCCTCATTCCAATGTAGAACATCAGTGAATCATGGCTGGATTGATAATTTCTGAAACCAGCTGTTGTTCTTGAAAATCCCACACCCTATGAATATGGATGAAATAAGGTTTTAAAGAAATTCAAGAGAGGGGTTCTTTAAAATAAATGCATTACTAAATATCCAATACCATTGTTACCTGAGTTAAGGTAATGAATACATGAATTGGAAGTGATGCATCTTGCCCAGTTGCACTCAGTCTGAACTGCGGATTTTGATGCCATGTATCATAATCCTGACAACCCCCAGCACTGTAACCACGCCATTGACCATGAACAGAATAACGCATCTCTGACGGATAGATACGACAAATATATATTGATCGAAAATGAATCTGAAAGTCTTGCCAGGACATCCAGAATATACCATCTTTTGACTGTCCCAAAAAGTCAAAATAAATAAATAAATAAATAAAATGGTCACTTGGTGTGAGTGAATGTTAATAACACCGGGAGAAAGCAATGAGTCTGCTCATTCATAAAAAATACTATGGGATCCAAGCAAATGACTAATCCACAATAGGAAAGCATAAACAACTACCTGTGGCACAAGCTTCAGCTTATGCTTCATCCTATCTGTCCATTCAGGTGATGAGTCAGACCAGGGGCCATTCCACTCAACTTCATTGGCCCATGGATTTCGTATCTGAACAAGTTTATGACCATCCACCTCTTTTACCTAAAATTGTATGACAGCAGTGACCATTGAAAATCATTAGGAATAGTCAAGCACCAAACCTCCAAAAAGAAGTGAAAGCTCATTAATGATTTTATATCTAACATGCCACCTAAGGCAAAAGTCTTTTGGCCTTAAGCATAAATAATGCACAAACCTATCTTACCTTGTACTTAAATTCAACTTTTTTTTCTTTAGAAAAATGAGAGTAAGAAGGATCAAACTCCTAACTACTTGATCATAGTGGCTTGCTATTATGTTAAGGAACAATTTTCCTAAAAGTTTAAGCAGTTAGTTAGGTTAAGGCTTATAAATGATTTTATATCTAGCGAGAATTAAGAATATAATAAGTATAAAACATTCTACCATTACCTGCAGTATTGAGTATGCATGTCCTTGCACAATGCCACTAGAAGAGATGTGCACATCTGAACCTGAAGGACTTCCTGCACCTAGGAGAAAACCCTCTTGCTTGAAGCGTAACAATTGGGACCACAATCTACCACTTGCAAGGTCAATCTGGGCTTCACCACTCCTCATGTCAATTTCCTCCCCTGCACCTCCAGTAAGATCTACCAGAGCATCCTGAACAAGCCCACCTTCTAGTGCTTCATAAGAGCCATGCAGCTTCGCATATGCCTTCTCCAATATAGAGACCCAAAGCTCATAACCCTTCTTACTAGTAGCAAATGCGGGTTTACCCGGTAATTCACATGGAATCCAATCATCAACAACAACAGGGATCCACTCACCCTAAATATCATGAACCAGAACATGCAATAACTAAGATGCCAGAACAAAAGGAAGTTATAGCATACAGCAGATAATATGCAACTAGAAAGAATATGAAGCCAATATGACAAATGTCATTGCAGGTATATTATCGTAACAATTATCCCTTGAATCTTTTTCTCCTATAATCAAACTCTACAATCTTGAAAATGAAAACTATTAATCACTGGAAGAGTTTTAATTTTAATTTTTAACCATCAGAAGCTTTAGCTAAAACCTGCTCCACAACCACATCATTTATTTAAGTTAAGTAGCTAAACCAAGAGAATCAAAGTAAGTCTTCAATTTTTCTTCTCATTAAACTAATTTTACAATCAAACGTAAACATAGATGAATAGATAGTTTCAGTGTTTGTATTAGAATGTTAGGAGGAAATCAAAACCAACCGAACAGCTGGAA